GCACCCTCTCGCTTTTTCATCACCCTCATCCCTGCTAATTGCAGCTTTTTCGGAGGGCGCCAGACCCCAGCAGGAGGGAAGGGCCCAAGCGCCCCCGCTGTGTCTGGAGCCAGCAAAGGGTGGCATCGAATTGGCCCAGATTGGCCCAAACGCCAGTGACGTGGTGCAAAAGAGGTGCTAAAACCGCAGCCGGGCTGGCTCTTGGGCACTGGGTTTGCCTGGGGAATCAGCTCACCTGGCAGCGGGCAGAGGCGCACGAGGCCCTTGAATTATTCACTAGGAAATTGGATTTGGAGATCAAAATCCCGATAACCAGGCGCCGGCATCAAAGAGCTGTCAGAGGTGGCTTCTGGCAGACCATCCCTCAGCAACATCAATCAGTCTCCTGAGAAATAATAGCAACAAAAAAGCGCATCAGGCCCCGTTTCGATGCCCCCCGCTTTTTTTTCCCCTTCCTTTGCGGTTGCACGTTCGGTGCCTGCGGGGCGGTCACTGTAAACACGATGCAGCCCATATAGGACTAAATAAAGCAGCATGCAAATCCCGCAGCCGCACTCGCCATCCGCAGCCGGGTGAGGTTGAAAAGGTGCAAGACTCACCCGTGATCATCCTGCAACCGCTGCACGCTGTCTGCGAGCCACAGCATCCTGCCGCTCGTGTGTTTTCCCACTTGGAAGTGCTCCGGGAATGCCCCTGTGCCGAGGAGCGGCCAGCGAGCAGCTGTGGGCGTTTTGCAGAGTGTCAGCTACTGAAATGCAGGGGCTGGATGCCTGGAGAGACAGGAAGGGAGCACGGAGGAAAGGTGCGGAGCATCCGCGCGTCAAGGGATGGAGCAGCCGGATGGCCCGGCGGAGCTGCCGGGATGCTCCCTAGGAGCACGGATCCCCTCTTCCCTCCCATGTGTTTGACTTCAGAGAATGATCCATGTAATAAATCTCCTCCTGTTTCTACTGCGATGGCAAATTTGCTTTATCCTCTTTGGAACAGCTCCCTCAGGACCCCGAACAATGGCCCAAAACAATGAATCCCGACGGTGCCGCTTGTGCTGCTGGAGCACAGACCGGGCGCTCGGCATCGCACAGGGGTGTTTGTCCCCGCAGGGCATCAATGTCCCCAGGCACAAGGGACATCTCGACCTCCCCTCTCCTCGCCCTCCAGGAGATGGAGATAAATCTGCGGTCATCTTTGCGGTGCTGATGAAAAAAAATTTGCCTGGATGCAATTTTAGCCCAAAGAAATTAAAAAATAAACAAAAAAGAGGGAGAGAAAGCGAAGGTTTGTTTATCCAGATTTTTTTTCTCCTTTTCTGGGGCCCATCTT